AAGGAAGCTCAACTCCAACAGGCATCAAGAATTCCTCTGGTTAAGGCTGACTGGATGACACAAGTGGCAGGAGAATATAGAAATATTTTACTTGAAGTTTTTGAACTTAGAACTCCTGTGAACAAGAGAATTTAATTTAGATATTGGATTTCTTTATTGTGTTGGGGTTTTAGCTTCCAAATGGATTTAACCTTTGAACTTTTTTCCCCATAAAAATTGGAGGCTATTTCTCTTCAAAGTTGGTGTATCATTATTGGACAAACTTTCATGCATTTTATGGACATCTTCCTGTGTTGCAATTTACCCTCAATGTGGAACCTCTAAGTATGCTCTAATGGACAATGAGGCAGATAGGACTGGGGGAATAGGAAATGTAATTTTTAATTTTCACTAAGAGTAGCCTTTACATTTATTTAGTGGTTGACTGTTGGCTCCATCATTGTCCACTGACACCTCCAGGAAATGACAGCCTGAGGCTGGTACTGGGGAGCAGCCTCATAAAAGCGAAGGCAGGTTCACTTCCTGAAAGAGTGGCTATCCTCTTCCAGGTCATCACCACCAGCCCTGGCTGAGCACTGGGTTAAGGCTTCAGGAAAACTTAACACTGGAAGATGTTAGAGGTACACATTTCTCCAGATCTCCAGGAAAGGTATTTCCCCTAGACATCCACCTGCCCCACCATGAGTAAGCCTACAACATCCCACCTACCCTTGGACTTGTCCTCCTGTTCCTCCTAGGACTTCACCTCTTTGAAGATGGTCTGGAGTAGCTGGGTAGCTGAGTAAATCTAATTCATTATCAGCAAATTCACTAGGGCAAAGAGTTGTAAATTCCAACATGGCAGCTCCAGCAACACAGACATTGTTTTTCTAAAATGGCTAAAAGCCCTGGCCAGGAAAAGGGAACTATATATTAGCCAAAAAGAGCATGCTAGGAGGCTGAGGCAGGAGAATCACAAGTTTAAGTCCAGCCTGGGCAACTTTTAATGTCTTATCAAGACTCTGTTCCAAATTTTTAAAATTGTGAAAAGAGTTGGGAATGTAGCTCAGTGTGAAAGCCCTGGGTTCAATCCCAGTGCTGAAAAAAGCATGCACAAAATCCCTCAATACATAGTACTTAACACTTGTTTAAAGATCTGACCTCAGACTTTCACCAATTAACTCAATGGTGCAGAGAAATACGCACATCGCAGGGACACACAGGTGAAAGACACTCAAAGGGACTTCTGCCCTCAAAGATCTCACTAGGTTGGGCTCCTCCTCCCTCCCAGTCCAGTGAACCCAGGTTTCTTTGTACTGAGAGGTCTCCTCTCCCTTGGGCATCCTTCTCTCCAAGGCTGAAGTCTTGATGAAATCCCATGTTTCATATTCCTTCTCCCTTAAATTCTGATAGCAATCATAGTGCCTTGCTCAACTTAATACTTTATTGCATGTAATCCTGGTGCCATCCTTAGGTTTGTCCAAATTTCTCAACATCAGCAAGGATCATACAAGTGGATGACTGCTATGAATGCTTCCTATGTTGTAGGATGTTTGGCCACAACCCTGGTTTCTGTCCACCAATGCCATATATCCCATAGCAAAATCTCCCCAGCTGAGAATCACTAATAGTAGACCAGAAGACCATGCCCTTACAAGGCGAGGAACACTAGCTAGGAACACTAGAGTTTGGTTACACGGGCTATGAGAGAAACTGAATGTAACGTGACAGCTAAGCAGGTAAGGTTTCAAAACTCAATGATTCCTGGGCATAGTGGTGCACTCCTGCACTCCCAGCACTCAGGAGGCTGATGCAAGAGCAACTGTCACAAATTCGAGGTCAGCCTTGCTACACAGTGAAGGCCAGCCTGAACTACACAGTGAGAAATTGTCTTAAAAAAAAATAAAACCAAAAAGTCAATGACTTAACAGATAACCTTCTGAAAGCTCCTAATTTACAAACCTAAATGAACTAAATTAGCTACAAGCTAAAAGTCTGCACTTCCTAAAGCAGTGCTGAGATTATTTTTTTTCAGGCACAATATTTTCTAGTAAAATACTTTCTTCTATCATTGCCACAGTCTTACTGACTTCTGATTATTAAAAGACTAAAATTAGTAAATTCACAAGGTGAGAAAATGGAAATAGAATGTACAACTAATTAGAAACAATCTGAGAATTTTATTGTCAATTTATCAACATCTAATATTTATAGTTTTGCTACATGTAAGATAAGCACATTAGGAAGAACATGTAAATTAAATACCATAAAAGTGTATTTTTAATGAAACATGGTTTTAATAAGACATGGATATACAAGTTTAGTGGTTTTATTGTATTAGAAAATTATATTATGAAAGATACAAAAAAAAATCAATAATGCTATTTATTTTACAATCAATATGCCATCTTTTACCATTATGGCTTTAAATTTTCATTCTACCCAACAGGTTTCAAATAATAGTTTATTTCATGCCTTAATAAAACATTTAAAATATTTACAAATTCAAAATAGATGTTCCATAACTGAAAAAGTTCACCTGAGAATTCATTATAACATTTGCCTTTTCTTTTTTTTCCAAGTTGTTAACGTGGCTGCGTGTCCACATGCAGCCTGTATCATCTACATTTAATTCCTTATTTAAAACTGGTTAAGTATTAAGCTATAGTAAATTGTTACAAAACTTAACAGATGGAGAACCATTATTCACATTTGTTTTAAATATAACAATTTAAGAAATTGCTATAGCTATAGTATTCAAATAAGGAGAAAATTTTATGGTAATGTTGTTGTACGTAACACCTTTTTAAAAATCTTGATCAAGCACTGAGAAGGCCAGTTCATAAAACAAGGAACAATCATGTACATACGCAATATACAAACTGAAAACAATTCCAAATTCTGCATGAAGGAAAAGGCATACACTGTATACACATAATCCTCTCATTTGTCTTCTGGCAGCCTCAAAAAAAAAAAAAAAAAGATATTGCTTTGAAACAAACTGTCTTAGAAAAAACTTCTTTAGAAGTTAATGTTAAAATAGACATAAATGTGTAATGCTATGCAATATATAGAAAACTTCCCCACCTTATGGCCAAAAGACAAAGATAAAATCTTTTTGTCCATCTATATTACAAGTTGAAAATCATGTAGGTATGAGGTAGTGTAGTTATACTTGTATTACACACTGGCTATTAAAAATGCTAAATTTTAAGAAATATTACCTGTGGCCAATTGTCACATACCATTAAAACAACCCTTAATGCTAAACTGTTTATAGGTAGAGAAATAAAAATAGGTGCTTTAAAAATTATATTTAAACTGGAGACAACTAGGTTTTAGCATAAAATAGTTAACTTTTCAGAGCAAATATTTACAGTTTCAATTAAAGCAAAAAATTACTTGACATTGCACACACACAAACTGATGACCAACAGCTGAGTGTACACTGAGGTAGGAAATCAATGATTCCATTGGTTTGGATAAAATTTTGTATTTTGTAAACCAGAAAAGTCCTTATTTTATATTGTGAAGTTGAAATTTAAAATTACATATATCAAGGCAACAGCTACATGGGGAGGTATTATACACACATAATTATTTTGTAGTATGGGATATAGTCCCACAGAATGAGCACTCTCCCTAACAAATCAAAAGTGCTTCTGGAAGCCTTTAGAAAATCATCCCAATTTTCTCTCCTGATTAAATCAGTAACATAACATACAAACACTGAAAAATCTATTAGAAATATCCACTCCCAAGCTGCCCCACACCCTGATGAAAAAGACTAATGTTTAACGAAGAGACTGGTCCCCATACACTCTCAAGGCAAAGGTCTACTTGTTTAACTCATTTGTACACAGCGGGAGGGTTTTCTTTCCTTTAGCAACCCAGGCCCCTCAATGGACTCAGCAGCTGTCTAGAGAAAAATCTCTTTAGGCGCCCGACTTAATGAAATGAAGTACCTTCTATTCCAAATATTATAAACTACCCCAACTGTACCCTCAGAAACTGGGTTCTATAAATGTTTCTGTGAACACAGGTTCAGTATCCCTTATCTGAGATGCGTGAGACTAGAAGTTTCAGGTTTTCTTCAGATTTCTGAATATCTGCTAGATATATAATGAAATATCTTGGGGATCAACCCCAAGCCTAAACATGAAATTCAACTATGTTTCTTACATACCTTCCTCACATAGCCAATAGTCTGAGTGTGTATTTTGACCGCAATTTGTCCTATGAGGTCAGGTGTGGAATTTTCCACTTGGGGCAGCGTGTTAGCTTGAAAAGTTTCAGATTTTGAAGCATTTCAGAGTTCCTGACGAGGGATGCTGAACATGTATACTTTTGTTTTAATTATTTAGGTCTACAGCTTTCATAATCTCAAGTCTGTAATTCCAGATTGGCTAAGAATAATTACAAAATATTACAGGGAAGGTGCTTAAATTATAAATACATTTTATAAGAGGATCAAATAAATACAAAGAATGATTTTTTAAATGCCCAAGTCAAAATGATTTATGTGGCCTTTAAACCACACTAAATATGGAAAATAAAAAGGGATTAAAATATGGCTCCTAAATGGTACAAGGTCAAGTTTCATCTTTTCTCACAAACCTGCACAGACATAGTAGATACATTTTTCCTATAATAATGGTGTTTAGAAGTATACCAGAAGACTTTAAAAACAGTGAAAAATGAACTGTGCTCCTGGTAAACACAGGCAATTTGCTTTGCCACCAATGTTTGCTGTTCGGGCACTGGTGACTCATGGGGTAAAGTAAGAATCCTTGCATGTTGAGCCGCTGTACTGGAAGGCAGGGGACCAAGGACAGTTCTGCCAGTTCATTCACTCAGCACTGCATCTCAAGTCGGGTGACTTCTTCCAAGAGACAAGAATGTAAGGAAACAAAGTTCATGATAGGTCCTGATGTGACAGAGATTAACAGGGGTGGGGGATGGCATTTATCTACTGTTTATGCAGCCAGAAATTCTAGTCAATACTGAGGAGGAGAAAAAGCCTCCACTTCAGGCCAGCCACCTGCTTGTTCATTAAGTCCTCCCAGTGTAGCTTGGGAATCACAGCAAAGTCCAATCCACACTTGGTTTTAGTAGGAGCAGAAGAGCACAGCCCTAGGGTTCAGGTAAGATGATTTCTTTTGCACACTGCAGCTCGACTTCCCACTGCTGACACCCTATTTCTGAGTAGACCTGAAAGCACTGCTTTTAAAACAGGTGTATTGCCAGGGGCCTGAGTATTAAGCTTCTGTAGGCCACTTCCTTACCAGATTGTTTCAAGCTGGTAAACTGGATTTGATATGCTGCAGTTTTTATTCTCATACTTATTTTGAATACTTGGAAGTTATTACTAATAGTTATTTTAGTTTTAAGGGCACACTGCACTTTAATGTGTGGTATTTCAAGACCCAGGAGACAAATCATTTGTGTCTTTCGAGGGAATCAGGGTTGACTTAAGAGAGATCCCCTGAAGCTGAAGGAAAACATGATTTTAAAACAAGACTATATTGGGCTTCAAGACAAAGCCAAAACTTCAGTAGGAAATTCAAGGGGCTGAGGAGGAGAAAGTAAGTTTACTCATCAGTAGTACATTTATCTGTCATCTGCTTACAGAAATCTGAGATCCCGCCACTCTGGCGACACTGCTCCACAGGCCCCACTGGCTCCGAGGCAGCTGTGAGAGTGGGAGGTGCCTCCGTGGCCCCTGCATAGCTGGCTTCACAGCCTCCTCTCCCACTCAGAGGCGGCACAGCTGGAGGCCAATCAGATAAGCTAAAAATTGATCGCAATAGAAGTTCACCATCAGAAGTACTTTTTCCTTTGTCAGAAATTAAAAATGAAAGTGGGCAATCTGAGGCTGAGTACTTGGCGAGAATCTGTATTTGTTCTTGACTCAGAGCTGCTTCTTCACAGACTTTTTGGCAAAGTCCAGTCAGGTTCTGTTTTGTCTCACCCAATGTTGACAAAATATGATCTCTTTCCTTTAGCAAGTTCTCCTTTTCATTTTGCTGTGAAGGGGAGAAAGAGAACACAACGATTTGTGTTTATTATTAGCTCAATCGACATTTCCAAGATGACCAAGTATTCACTGTCCATGATATCTTCTCATTAAATAAGATCACATGAAGTCCTCCTTTCAATTCAAATATATGGTAAATAACAAAGGTCCATAATCCATCCAAAACGCTTAAGAGTCGGATATACCTTAGAATCCAGAATTTTCAGATTTTAGAAACGTAATATGAACACATATAGAATTCCTCTAGCAGATTTACGAGAGCATTCCATTATTAAATATCTTTACATTTTTCAGTGAAACACTAAAACATCAAAAAATACAGAAAGGAGAAAAAAACTATGCAGTCTCATCAATTTGGATCAGATTTGGACAGCAGTTTGTGACAAACATGAACGGCTTTCAGAGCTTTGTGGATTTACAGACCACACAGAAACGAGTGTGAACTTGACAATTTAGACCGACTACAACAAAAAAGTTTAAGTAAAGTATATGGAGCTTAACTACTGAGACTCATACCACTGCAAGATTCAACTCATGACTGCTTTCTTGCACCTGATATTGTGCTAAAAGTTTTCCAATGCGGAATCTCAGCTATACAATCCAAACGGTGAGTGCTGATTTAAGTAATACTGAGCCCATTAAATATAGATAGGATTAAGAGTTTAACATGTCCTGAGACAGAATGCCAGTGGGTGATTTACTAAAGTGTGAATTTTTACCTGTAAAGAAACATGTAACACTGGACTTTTTCTCAGAAATGTTCCTATTGCCTACACTTCTGACCACATCACCTATCACTGCTAACTGCGTGAGTTTTGTTTTATCCTCCTCCCACCTCACCCTTCCTATCTTTTATTGCTTCACATCTATTATAACCTCGGAAACCTAACAAACAAGCTGTTTATAAGGTAAGAGTAAATAAGTGTTGACAGGCAGTGAAAGGTTTCTTCTGTAAAGTTTATTGCAACTCTCTTGGAAAAGCAGAGTCACTGCTTTGTACTAATAGGCAGATTCTAGAGAGCTGAAGTGCAGTTAACATTTAGATGGGTCATTTTCTACTCCTAATCTGTATCTTCTATCTTTTAATCGGTTCTGGCAGAAAAAGAACTAAGAGCGTAATATGAACTTTGCTTTATGCAAAAGTAACTGTTACGGTTTTACACAAAAATAGTCCTATATAATTTCGAGACAATCCAGTTATCAGTAGTCTTAAAAAAAATCTTAAGGCAATATTTTGAAAAGATACAAAATGAATATAAAAAACTAAAATTTTACATTGCAAAGCATTCTCCGATTTGTTCTGGTTTTGACAAAATAGTTCTGTTTCAAAACAGAAATAAGTACAAGTCAATAATAAAAGAAAGAGAAACCAAGAGCGATGTTCACCCAGTACATTTTCTCTAATGCAAAATTTGTGATAGTTTTCAGATAAAATGAATCTGCGGGTGCCAAGAGCATGCCAACATACTCACTACAACTCATCCTGAGAAGGAACATTTAATGCAAGCTGTACCCTTTCTTTTTATGGCCTCCTAGAAGCCATCCAAATGAGGATGGAAACAAAACTCCCAGAAGAAAGTGAGAAGTATCTTTCTTCAGACATAGCATTATTTAGTCATAGATTCCTCTATCAAAGTTGGAAGGAATCTATTCTAAATAAATATAGGCGATAGGCAATATTTCCACTTCTGGTTTGTCTTTTAAGTTAAATGAATGTTTAAATTTTCTACCACACACCAGAACCACTAACCTACAGGTGCTATGATGATCACATACATAGTATTTTATGACTTCTGCATCTTTATGTAAATATCCATATAATCTTTAAATGCTCTCACACCTCCTATTCCACTAAGGAATGACATCATTCGTTAGTATGTTCCATACAACATGGTTTGCTTCTTCAAAATTAAAATGAGTATAACCCTGAAACTCTACCGTGATTATTTCTGTAAATTAAATGCTCTCATCTGTTCCTCTGTATTTCAAGCTAACTCCTACATGGCTAATTTCACTCTAATTTTAAAAAACAAATTTACTATGGTAGTAGGTTAATAACTGACAATTACATGAAAGAAATAATCCAAGTTAATACTTCATGACATCATTACCAAAGAAATCTCCCAAACATACTACCGTGTCCTACTATTTCTACAAAGTACTGTATTTTACTATTCTTACCAAAACAACAGCATTTTTAGGTTTAAGTACTGTACCTTTAATGACAGATCTTTAAAAAAATGAATAAAATTGATCTAAAATGAATAAAATTGATCTGGGCACCGTTATGTACTTTATATGAACAAAGCAACTTTATATCTAAATCCTTATTTTGAACAGCAATTATAAATACACCTCATCCAATAAAGATAAGGAGCATAAGAACCTGGCACCAAAAGAGCCAGATAACAGTGACTATTTTAGAATAGAAAGAACTGACTGCTACTAAATGGTCCCTAAGAATTGCTTATGATACAAAACCTCTGAACAAACAGTTCAGAAAAATCAATAAATAGTCCTTGAAAACATGAACAAAAACACTCAATTCTGCTCATAAAAGAGAAAAATAAAAGCTGTCATGAGATCCTGATTTTTACTATCAGCCTGAAAAAAAAAAAAGTAATAAAAGCTGACAAGAAACTCTTGCGGAGGCTGTTGAGAAAAATATATATTGCAGCAGGGAACGCAAAATAGTACACTCACTGAGGAGAAGAATTTGTTAATAGCTAGCAATATCACACCTGCATTTACTCATGATTCAACTCTCTCACTTCTAGGAATCTACTCTAAATATCTATCTTCCTAAACATTAAGAGCACAAGTAATTTGCCACGGCACCCCAGCTGTCTACCAGCAGGAGACTGCTCTGAACACACTGTACTACAGCCACAGTGAATGCTCCCTCTTGAACCAAGAAAAATGTTCTCTAGAAATCACTTTCGTGAAAAGGATAAAACAGTGTAAATAAAATACTTCTAGAAAGGATAACAAGAATAGAATACATAAAATATCAGCTTGTTTCTAGACAAAAAATGGATGAAAACATTTTGCTGATAGGAAGTAGATATAAAGAGTTTAGGGAGAAAGGGGTTCAAGACCTTGAAATACACTTTTTAAAAAATATATAGTTTTAACTTTTTTGAATCATATAAATGTTTTACATATTTAAAAATTTTACTTACGTAAAAATGTAAAGAGTAAATCTTACTACTATTAACAGAAACTAATTATGTTATCAAGTTGATAACAAAAACTTGTTCAAATAACCCAAAATGCTATGTTTTGGGCTATATTTAAGGGCAAAAAAGACAAATCAAATTTTATTTATAAACAATCTGCTTATTAATGTGTTTAATTAATGGCAACACTGACTATAATTTTATGATATATATGTATATATGAAGATACAGCAAATAGTGAATATACTTATACAATTAGAGCCAAGATATTCCCTGTAAATTATGAGATAAAATAAAAATATAGGCTTTTAAAAAGCAGATAAAAGTCCCCTATTCTGCAAAATTTGGACTGGAAATATCTCCATGAACTCCTGATTCCCACTGTACTGTTTACTTTCATTTACTAATGCTATATGTGTGTGCACAAGTGTGCACATTTAAACGGTGAAGGACACAGGATCAGATATTTCCGAGTTCTACCAACTGACAGGGCCTGTAAGGCGTAACATTCCAGAAGCAGGTATGCTTTCCAAAAATCTAACAATTCATTAAAACAAACAAACAAAAAAACTAGGGCACTTGGAGAAATGAGTGATTCCAAATCTTGGGATAAGAGAGGCAAAAAGCCTACAGCAGGAAGCATTAATGGGGTCCTATTAAAAGGGTAGCTCATAGCTTATGGGCCTCTCCTCGCCAAACTTGGGGGAAAATAATGGTCAAAAAGACTATTATTAATTTTAACACACTGAATTCGAAAAACTCAATCTATGAGACCCTGCTGATACTACAGGGCAGCAGGAGAAAGGGAAAAGACAAGGGAAAGAAGGCCTATTTCAAAGAGGAATGGTAACTAATAAATGTAAATGAAATAAAGTTAGAAAAAATCACTGTTTCATAATCCCCACTGGAAAGGCCATCAGAATGCACTAAAACCCAAAGGACAAGAGTACCAGGAACACAAAGCGCCTACAAAAAATTCCCTCTTGCTCTCATTTTCTCTCACAGGTCACACTGAGTGATTTCTAGGACAGAAAAATGTAACCCTGAAGCTGAAGAAAACTGGCAGTTCCCATCCACCTAGGTGGGGCAACGACACTTGTGTGCCTCCTCAGATGACGAAATTCGAAGGACAGAACACTGGTGAATGTTTAATCTCCATCCGTCAATACAAACATCTCCAGCTTGTATGAAATAAAGGGATGCAGGAATGAATTAAAACCACAGGAAGCAATCAAACAACCGTTAATAGTGAGGCAGTCCGTGCAAACTTAGACCTAGACTCTGAAAACCATTTTTTTTGGGAGGGGGGGTTTGAGGCAGGGTCTCACTAGGTAGTGGAGACTAACCTGGAACTCACTATGTAGTCCAGGCTGGTCTCAAACTCACAGTGATCCTCCTGCCTCAGCCTCCCGAGTGCTGGGATTACAGGCATGTGCCACCACGCCCGGCTTTCATATCATTTTTTTAAAATGGAAGGATTTCAGAGATAACAAAGCCTCATTTGAGTAGATCTTATTTTAAAAAGCACCTATAAAGGATATGTTGGGAACAATCAGGGTGATTTGAGAAAGGACTAAATAAATGTTAGGGACATGAATTCTCAGTATATCCAGATATTAGTCATAGGTAAGAATGTCTATTTTAGAAGACGCATTGTAAGCAATTGAGGATGAAGTGCTTTAATGTAGTATTTCCAAATGATTCATAAAATGAGAGCAAGAGAGCAAAAAGAAAAACAGCAGGACAAGACTGACATGATACAAAGCAAGAGAAACCAAGATCAGCCATGTGTTCATATTCATCTATGATT